TCAGTACCAAACGTTGAAATCCAGATCGACATCCTAGCATAGCTGGAGCACCATCTGTGCAAACACCACAAACCTTTTCCCAAGAGATCTTATGCTCTTTCAGAAATGAACCAACTGTGTCAAATACATCACGTGCAGTAGTTGTCGTTTCAAGAGGTTTGCAAAAAAGAAACTCATCTTTAAAGTCGCCATCATTAATATACCTCATGTGAACCAGTAACTGTGAACAGTTTGCAACATCTGTAGATTCATCAAGCTGGATACTAACTATTGGAAGTGGAGCAGATTTAATTTCCTGGATTACCTGATCAAGAATATTAGCAGACATGTCATCTAATTTTCTGCAGACAGTGTCGTTAGATAAGGAAATTGCACTCAATTTCGTAACAAATTCGTCTCCGATCATAGTGGAAGGGAGAGGGAGAGACAGAGAGAGAGAGAAACATTGATGTGAGAGTGACACATCAACTGGCTGCCTCCCTCACAAGCCCAGATCGAGCCTGCAACCGAGGTGCGTGCCCTTGTCTGGAATCGAACCCAGGACCCTTCAGTCCACAGGCCAACACTCTATCCACTGAGCCAAACTAGCCAGTGCAAGAAGACCTCATTTTAAAGGTTGTGTTTATCTAACCTGACTGGAAGCTTGCATAATGCGAATAGTCTTTTGTTGGGAGAGTATTTGTTGAAAAAAAATCAATGGTAATTGTATAACATGGGAGTTGCTTAAGGCAGGGATAACATTGGGGACAAATAAGACTCGGAGGAAACATCTTGAAAGGAAGAGCTGGTGAAGGAGCTGTCCACAGTAGGCTTTGAAAAACGTTCGCCTCTTCCTGGGAACCTAAAAGGCCACTCACATGGATAAAGCGGTGCACATGCCCAGGAAAGACCTGGAAAAGCTCCAGGTTTTCAGTCCCGGCTGACCTTCAGGCTCTGTGCAATCAGAAAGCGAAGGCTAGGGCAGAGTTGTAAACTGCCTCCTGCGCATTGAAGGCCTTCCCCAACATGCACACACAAGCCCGCAGCAAACACTGAGAGACTTACTGGTTCCAGGCGTCTAAGGGAACCTCTGCCAATTATTAGCTGACCACTACCAAGCAGAGACTTCAGTGGCCACACACAACAAAAAGTACAAACTTTATAGTATTAGTTTAGGACGGCCACTAAACAAAGTGCAGCAGGAACAAAACCCAGTAACAACAATAACCCCTAGGGCACCAGGATCTGGTTTCACAGTTGTCACGTTATTTAAAACTAGAGGCCCGATGCAAGAGTAGGCCTTCCTTCCCCCAGCTGCCGGCACCGGCTTCCCCCCGCACCTGGAACCTGGGCTCCCTCACAGCTCCAGCTTCGTCCAGAAGGTTGTCTGGTCTAGTTAGCATATTATGCTTTTATTATTATAGATATGCAGGTAGCTACAAAAACTATGAAACATGCAAAGAAACAAGAAATTATGGTCCATTTACAGGAAAAGAAAAAGCAATTAGTAGGAACTATCCCCAAAGAAACCCAGACGTTGGACTTAGTAGACAAAGACTTTAAACTAGTTATTTAATATATGTTTAAAGAACTAACGAAAACCATGTCTAAAGAACTAAAGAAAAGTATGACCATGATGTCTCACCATCTTTGTTGATAGAGAATATCAACGAAGAGGTAGAAATTATTTAAAAAGAAACAGCCCTAACCGGTTTGGCTCAGTGGCTAGAGCATCAGCCTGCAGACCGAAGGGTCCTGTGTTCGATTCTGGTCGAGGGCATGTACCACGGTTGCAGTCTCCTTCCCGGCCCAGGCCCTGGTCAGGGCTCATGCAGGAGGCAACCAATCGATATTTGTCTTTCTCTCTCTCTTCCACTCTCTCTAAAAATCAATGGAAAAACATCCTCGGGTGAGGATTAAAAAATAAAAAAAAAGTAAAGGATTCAAATAGGAATTCTGGAGTTGAAAGTACAATAAGTGAAATAAAAAATTCACTAGAAGAGCTTAAGAGCAGATGTGAGTTGGCTCAAAAAAGGATCAGCAAACTTAAGGATAGGTCAATTGAGATGATCTAGTCTGTGGAATAGAAAGAAAAAAATGAAGAAAATACAGTTCCTTAGATACCTGTTGGACATCAGTAAGCATTCTAATATAAGTATAATTTGAGTCCTACGGAAGAGAGAGAGAGAGAGAGAGAGAGAGAGAGAGAGAGAGAGACGGGAAGACTTTGAAGAAATAATGCCCCCAAACTTCCCAAGTTTGATAAAAATATTAATCTACACATCCAAGAAGTTCAATGAACTTTAAGTAAAATAAGAACTTACCTTAGAACTTATCCTAGACACATCATATTGAAACTATTGAAAATCAAAGATGGGGAATATTGGAAAGAGCAAGAGATAAACCATTTATCACATACAATGTTTCCTCAATAAGATTAACAGCCATTTATCCTCAGAAGACAGTCCTTCAAAGTGCTGGAAGAAAAAGCCTATAAACCAAGAAGTTTATATCTGGAAAAACTATCTTTCAAAAATAAAGGAGAAACACAGACATTTACAGATAAACAAAATGGTAAGAATTTCTCACTAGCAGATCTTCCTACAAAAATACGAAAGTGAGTCCTTCAGGCTGAAATGAAAAGACACTAGGCAATAGCTTCAATTCACAATAGAAGTAAAGATCAGCAGTAAAGGTAATTGTATAGGTAGAGATAAAAGACAGTTCAAATAGACATTTTCTTGTTTGTAACTCTTCAAGAAAAGAGTTGTACCGATTTTTCGGTAATTTCCGAATCTGCCGCTATACCGCTGTACCTAATTTTCGGTACTTTGCCTAGACCTATTTTCTTACATTGTCTCCAAGTTCCATCTTATTCTAACCACTTGTTTGCATGTAACTAACGTTTTTCTATATCATGTTGGTTTTTTCTCTTTAATGCTCAGGAGCCCAGGTATAGGGGACAGTTAGGTTCAGGTCTGGTAGGGTTAAAAGACAACTGCATAAGGCAATCATTGTAAATCTATGTTGATGGGCATACAATGTATAAAAAGTAATATGTATGACAATGGTCGTACAAAGGAGAGGGTGGTAGTGGAGCTATATAGGAGCAAAATTTTGTATTAGGCTGGTACAAATTCTAACTCTATTATTATCAGTTGAGATTTGAAATATGATCTTCAAGGGAACCACTAAAAAAATAACTCAAAAACTAGAATAAAAGATTTGACAAGATAATGAAAATGCTACACTAGGCGATAACTATTTAACAGAGAAGAAGGCAATATTGGGGTAATAGAGCGACAAAAAACATAAGACACAGAAAACAAATACAAAAACGGCAGACAGAAATCCTATCTTATTGGTAATTACGTTAAACAGACAAGGATTAAACATGCTAATAACAAAACAGATTGGCACGATGGGTAAACTGCCATGATCCAACTATATTTTGTCCACAGAAGACACGCTCTATGTTAAAAGACACAAGTAGATTGAAAGTAAAAGATGGAAGAAGGTATCTTATCTACTAAAGAGAAAATATGCAAATTGACTGTCATGCCATAACGGCCAAGATGGCTGTGCCCATAGCGGAGGCAGGGATTCCATAACACTAGATGGTTGTGCCCACAGCGGAGGCCAGGTTCCTGTAATGAGTCTTTTTAAAAATATATATATTTTATTGATTTTCTACAGGGAGGAAGGGAGAGGGATAGAGAGTTAGAAACATCGATGAGAGAGAAATATCGACAGGCTGCCTCCTGCACACTCCCCACTGGGGATGTGCCCACAACCAAGGTACATGGCCTTGACCGGAATCAAACCTGGGACCCTTCAGTCTGCAGGCTGATGCTTTAGCCACTGAGCTAAACTGGTTAGGGCTGTAATGAGTCTTAATGAGCAATCTGCAGGGTCCTGAAGCTGTGTGGCACTGGGCCAGGGCAAAAGACCTGAGGCTGCGCAACCCTCCCCCCCCCCCCCCCCC